TTAATTGCAAGTAACAGAAACAAAATGTAACTAAAACAAATTTATTTAATATTATATATTATATACACTATATATTATATACACCTACAATATATAATAATATATGTAGGTGTTTGTGTAATATACTATATATATACTTACGATATAACATAAACTTTATTCAGTGTGGTTCGGTTACAACTACATCATTCGATCATAAAACAAAACCATACCCATTTTTTGCGGTTTTTTAAAAATCTTAATTGCGCTGCAAACCGCAGTTTTAAAAACTGAACTGCATCACACCGAATACATCAGTTCGGCTCGGTTTTTCTGATTCGACTCGGTTTTTGCTCACCCCTATCTCTATCTATTAAGAATGGAAAAATATAAAATTTGATGATTTTTTTAATATAAAATAACAACAATATTATACTTAAAAAAGCATTTCAAAATATCCTATCTAAAAAAAATCAATAGAAACAATAAGAATTGGACATGCTTCCTATAACTTGCCAACCTAACGTATCGGTTTGTGATTTTTCTTTTTTCTTCTCTTCTTCTTTTTATTTTTTGCCTTGTAGGTAGTGACCCAATTCTTGGGTTACCGATAAAGAGATACTAAGGGAGTGATTGTTTACAAAATATTTTACTCACTTTTATTTCAACTCAAAATTTAACTCAACTTTAACTCAACCCCACTATCTTTAGTATTATTCATATAATTAAATAATACAAATCAATCATTTTTACACATCACATCAACTTTAATTCATTATTCATCCACTCACATAATTTTAACTACCTATCATTTTCAATCATTTATCTCTTACTTTTACATCAAATCAATTTTAATTATTTTATTTTAAATATTATTTTAATACATTCTTAAAATTCCACTACAACTAACCATACCACCTTTTTCAAAATTAACTATAGTAAACCAAAATAACTCAATTTGAAAAAATATTTCATAAACAATCAAGCCCTAAGGGTATGATTGTTTGTGAATTCTACGTAAATATCTTACTCAATACTCAAATTTAACTCAACTTTAACTCAACTACACTATCTTCAATATTATCAATATTCAATATAATTAAATATTATCAACCAAACATTATACATATCACGTCAATTTTAATTCACTATTCATCCACTCACATAATTTTAATTAACAATCACTTCCAATCAACTTCAATTATTTTAATTTAATTATTATTTTAATATATTAACTAACAACTAACCATATTATATTTTTTCAAACTTAACTATAGAAAAAAAAAAAAAAAAAAAACTAGTTTGTTACTATTTGAATTCATATCCAATCACCCCCTAAGAGCATGTTTGTTTATGAAATTTTCAAAAAAATTCATCATTTTAACTCAATCACTTTTTTAACTCAACTTTAACTCAACCGTATTATCATCAATATTATAAATACAATTAAATAATATCAATCAATCATTCATACACAACACATCAATTTTAATTCATTATTCAACCACTCACATTATTTTAACTAATCATCACATCAAATAATCTCTCTCCACTTTTTACATATAATCAATTTTAATTATTGTATTTAAATATTATTTTAATATACTCACTAATAATTAACCATTCCACCCCTTTCAAAACTAACCAAACCAAACCAAAAATAATAAGGGGGTTGATATAGCCCTATTATCATAGCTCAACTCAGATAGTGAATGTCCGACTAAAGACTGTGGGCGGCTTCACTAAGTCGACACCTACGATGATGATTTGGCTCATCGGCTATTCTTAAGCCGTTAGACCGGCCACAGTCTCTAGTCGACTTTATAAAGTCGACTAGATGCAAGACGACTTCGTCGAAGATGACGAGCAGACACTCTAAGAGTCCCCCCGGATACTTGGGTAACCTTAGATCGACTCGACGAGGTCACAAGTCGACTTATAGAGACCTCCGACGACTTGATGTGCATATGCGACATATAGAAGGTCCTCAAGAGCAAGTTCACAAAGGATAAGGAAGAATCTGGATGCTGACTCAGGAGTAAGCGGAAGGCGAACCGACCGGGGCATTTTGGACACTTCGTGTAAGTCGGCCAGGGCATTTAGGTACTTCAAGTAAATGTTTCACCCTTATATAAAGGAGATGAGGTAACCCAAAACCCTAACTTTCATTCTCTCTATTCTACTGAGCAGAGCGCATCTTCTTCTCTCCACTGACTTGAGCGTCGGAGGCTCTTCACCGGAAAACACTTCCGGTGTTGAGTTTTGCAGGTGTTCACAGCGGTTCACGGGCGACTTAAAGATGATTCAAACAGACCGGAATTCATTTATACCGGTCCACTTCAAATCTAGGAGGAGACCCATCAGGGGTAATTGTTTATTGTTTCTACAGTAAAAAAAATACAAAATAAAACTCAACTTTAACTCAACTCCACTATCTCTCATATTATTTATATAATTAAATAATGTCAAGCAATCATTCATACACATCACACCAATTTTACTATTCATCAACTCACATAATTTTAACTAGCCATCATTTCCAAACTTTTTTCTCATATTTTACATCAAATCAACTTTAATTATTTTATTTAAATATTATTTTGATATATCCACTAACAACTAACCATACCATTTTTTTTTTCAAAATTAACTATAATTAAAAACAACCAAATAAAAACTAGTTGAATCCATAAACAATCAGCCCTGAATAAAACAAAAAAATTTCATAAACAAACATGTTCTAAGATATATTGTTGTAGAGTATCAACTACCATTTCTACTACACAAGAGGCGGCCTAATTGTGGGCGATGTATTTTTTTAAACTTATTAACATCACCAATGAGTGCATGTCACCTACACGGTGGGCATATTAACATGTGCCCACCGTGGGTAGGAGAGCATTTCTATTTTAATTATATATAAAAAAATGTATTACAAAATATCATAATTTTTTATGTAGTTTTCTAATATGGCATTTTAATTTAAAATATACATGTATAATTGTCGAATGCGCTGAGTCTACGTGGCTGCTTCTGGTGTTTCGGAATCCTAATTGGCCAAAAATCATGCTTCGTAATTAGGTTTGGACAAATAATATTGATATATTAATAATTAATAATCTAGGTTTGGACATTTCATAAATATTATTTAGCTAACTTAGGTATT